TCAAATGCTCAGATCCTACATTTTAGGGAGTAATGACACATTTCCAACCATTCAGACCATCGAAGGCTATGATCCTTCCACTTGGGAGAGTATCGAATGGCACAGTACAATTCGAAAAGATAAGAATAACAACTATGCTACTTACTAAAAATAGAAACTAAAACTAGCCGTTACAAATTTGAGTCTAACGGCTATTTCTAAAATAGCAAGCTCTTCATTCCTTCGATTTCTTCATTCTCTTCAATTCCAAATGCAGGATTGTCATCTGCAGATTAGATTTAAGCTAGTATGTAGCTTAATTCTCAACATATAGTGCCGGGTACCGGCACATGCTATTCACGTCGTAGTTGATGTTGCAAACAAGGGCGAGTGAGGTGGAGGAGAGGCAGCTAGAGGAGGAGGTTCTGGGAGTTGGAATTAGGAATGATTGGTAGATAACGACTGTGGGTGTGTGGAGTAGGTGCGGTGAGTGTATGTCAAAAGCAAAGAGTATAGGAAATAGAGTGGGTACGATGTGTAATTAGAGATGGGCAAAACCCACAGGTATGGGTAACCACAGTTACTCGCCTGTTTAAAACTCACGGTTGTAGTTATAGGTAATCGTTTACATAAATAAACGGTTATGAGTATAATTGTTTATCTGTGAAATTTAAATTGGCGGTTATGAGTATTATCCGCGGTTATAAATGGGTACTCATTTAACCATTAATTTTAATAAACATAAGATTAAAAAAAACATTAATTTCTAACTAAGTTTAGTATCTCAAGACATAATTGGTTATAAACAGGCCACATATATATATATATAGTTGATATAAATGGCGCTACGTTTAATATATGTGATTGAATGTGCTAAAACATTAGAGTGTTCGAAAGTTTTATTTTTTAGTATTTTGGAGCTTTGAATCATCTAATATTCAAGATAATGATTACCTTGAGCCTTTAAAAGCATGTTATTGCCTGCTAATGCGTACTTATATATATGGGTAAAGTACAAAAAATTACCTTAACTATTGGGATCACGACAATTTCATACCTCATCTTTTAAAATTGACAATGTCATACCCCATCTTACGAATTTGTGACAATGTCATACCTCCGTTAATTTTTCTATTAGTTTTTCTGTTAAGTGCTGACGTGGCAAGAGATGGGGACCACTTTCTATTAAAATATTATTAAAAACTAAAAAAATTTTAATATTTTTTAAATATTAAAATAATAAATAAAAGTAGAAAAAAAAAAAAAAAAACCTTAGTCGTCCCTTCCCTCCCCCCCCCCTTCTCTCTCTCTCTCTCTTTCTCTCTCTCTCCCCATCTTCATTTGCTTAATCTTTAACCCAAAAAAAAAAATATATATATATATATATATATATATATATATAGACACCCAGAAGAAGGAAGAAGAAGGAGGAAGAAGGAGAAGAACAAAAAAAATTGAAATTGGTGTGGTTTCCATTTTTTTTTTTTTCCTCCTTCTTCTTCGGTTCTTCCTCCTTCTCCTGCGGGAGGGGGGCGGGTGGGGTTGGGTTTTCAATTTTTTTTTTTTCCTCCTCCTCTTCTTCCTTCTTCTTCTTCTTCTTCTTCTTCTTCTGTTCTTCCTCCTTCTCCTGGGGGAGGGGGGGTTGGGTTTTCAAATTTTTTTTTTTTTTTTTGTGTGTTAAAGATTAAGCAGATGAAGATGGGGAGAGAGAGAGGGGGAGGGAAGGGACGACTAAGGGTTTTTTTTTTTTTTTTTTTTTACTTTTATTTATTATTTTAATATTAAAAAATATTAAAAAATATTTAGTTTTAATAATATTTAAATAGAAAGTGGTCCCCATCTCTTGCCACGTTAGCACTTAACAGAAAATTTGACGGAGGTATGACATTGTCACAAATTCATAAGATGCGGTATGACATTATCAATTTTAAAAGATGACGTATGAAACTGTTGTGACCTCAATAGTTGAGGTAGTTTTTTGTATTTTACCTAAAAAAAAATGAAAATTGCAACCCAAAAAAAAAAAAAAATGGAAACCGCACCAATTTCAATTTTTTTAGTTCTTCTCCTTCTTCCTTCTTCTTCTTCCTTCTTCTGGGTTTTTTTTTTTCTTGGTTAAAGATTAAGCAGATGAAGATGGGGAGAGAGAGAGAGAGGGGGAGGGAAGAGATGACTAAGGTTTTTGTTTTTTTTTTTTTTTACTTTTATTTATTATTTTAATATTTAAAAAATATTAATAAAAAATTTTAGTTTTTAATAATGTTTTAATAAAAAGTGGTCCCCATCTCTTGCCACGCCAGCACTTAACAGAAAAATTGACAGAGGTATGACATTGTCACAAATTCGTAAGATGCGGTATGACATTGTCAATTTTAAAAGATGAGGTATGAAACTGTCGTGACCCTAATAGTTGAGGTAGTTTTTTGTACTTTACCCTATATATATTAATTTAATTGGCCCTGAGTTTTCAATAAATATTTGACCTGGATTGATTTACATATTTTTCTAAATAAAAATCCATATATTTATCAAGTTAGCTTATTACCAAACTAATGCACAGTTATATATATAGATGCATATTAATTAACCTACAACCATGCATGATTCTTGTAATAGATTGACTTTCAAATAATTGGGAGACATCACATATATTCATAAATAATATCACTGTTAATACGAAAATGCATGTTAAATGCACTTATAACGGAGTTTAATTGTTAGAAAAAAGAAAATTATGACAAATTTCTTTTTTAATTTTCAAGTTGTTAAAAAAAAAAAAAAATAGGTAAACGGGTAAAAAAAAGAGAGTAAACGGGTAAAAAAAGAGAGTAAACGGGTAAACGAGTAACGGTTATGGTTAAATGGGTATGCGATTATGGTTAAATGAGTATGCGGTTATGGGTATGATTAAACATTTATAAATGGTTGTAGATATGAGTATACCCGTTTATGCAAATACCCAACAGTTAAACGGTTATGCGGACAAGAACTTAAACGGTTATAAGTAAATAAGCGTGGTTACCTGCCCGGCATAACCATTGCCCATCCCTATGTATAATGGAGGTGGTGGGGAGAGACAATTTAGCCGATATGGGTGTGTGTAGGTGTGGAGGGGGGTTGTGTTAGTGTTTTTTGGGGTTTAGATAAGTCTCTTTTTTTTTTTTTTTTTTTTTTTTTTTTGGTATTTAATTTATGTTGTTGTTCATGAATGGTTGTGCACTTAATTAGAAATTTAGTAGTAATCTATATATTAAACTGTACATGTTCAACTAAAAAGGAATAAAATGAGCCAGAGGATCCTATCGGATTCTCTTTATGGGGATCCTTACCAGATCCTTAGGTCGTATATGTTTATTGTATATCGTGCGGTCAGTTTTCATCAAGTACTATTCATATTTAATTTAAAATAAAAGTATTTAAAATGATTTATGACCGCACGATGTATGATGAACGGACATGATGTGAGGATCCTCATTGAGAATGAGGGAAATGGATCATCTCCAAATCCCTTCCACCTAATCCTCCTCATCAAACAATCCGGACCCTTGAAATTTGATCCAATGACTAAAAACACAGACTCACTCTAAAAGTTATAATAACTTTAGCTATTGGATCAAATTTCAATGGTCCGGATTGTTTGATGAGGAAGATTAGGTGGAAGGGATCTAGAGAGAATCTCTTTCCGTGAATGAGGATGTCTTTTGGATTAAATATTGGGTAAATATTCAATTGGATTGAATTTAATGTACTTTGACTACTTCGAGTTCGGATCTGCTGTGCCTAGATTACCTTTGCCCAGCATGTGACATCCTTCTCCTTTTGACACATGTCCTTAAGCTTAACACCTAAGACGCAGCCACATGATCACCGGTTATCGTCTTCCCTGCATAGGCAAAGCTCACTTATCTCTCTCTCTCTCTCTCTCTCTCCAATTTCTCATCGACCGTCTCAAACACATAATACCTTTGAATCTCAAATTTCAATTTCCAAAATCCAACACAAAAATCCATAAGAATCACGCAGTCGCATCGCATATGATAACGAGGATCAAATATCTGCATCCCAAATGAGAAAGGCTTTTCTATAACCGTAGTTATAAACGGACACATACTAAGTTTTGTAATAAACCTAATTGGACCAAACTAAATTGTACAAGGAGGAAATGCAGTTGCCAATTGTACAAACTGGTGGAGTTGTAAACGTGTAAAACTGCTTCCTATAATCGAAGGAATATGTGGTGATTGTGATCAGGAACAACTTGCAATCTGAAACTGCAAATAACTGTAATGAACCAACGCTCCACGATAGATGGAAGTTGGCCAAGGTTATACTTATAAAGAGGCTCCCTGCTCACAAAGAAAAGGTTTTAAGTTAAGGGTTCTATCACCATCTGAGTGAGTAGAAGACTTGATAATGACTGCTCCAAGAAAGTCTCTTTACTTCTGTATTGATAGTGATCTAGATGGCATGCTAACATGATTTGGGTTGAGTCTTACAAGTTTCTGATAATAAATTAAGAAAAATTAAGTTTATTAATATGATAACGGGATTGCTCCTCCGAGCCAGCATCATCCGCTGCGTCCTCATCGCGGTCCTAGCCATCCACAACATCCCCGAAATTTGGTTCATGAAACACCAAAGCCACCCCCCATCAACTTCAAATCCCAATCTGGTGCAGGGTCACGGCTGGCAGAGTAGGTAGAGCGGCCGATGAAGTTGGGGTGGGTGGTGGAGCTGTAATCCGACAAGTCTTTCTGTTATAGCAAGAAGCGGAATCAAAGGGGTTGGTTGAAAGCTGCTGCGTTTTTTGCTTTTCTAGTACTTATTAGCACGTGATTTCTTTTTCAACTTCTATAAAATTAACGGCGTTATGTTAGTTATTAACCACAAGGACAGGTATCAAAACGAGAAGGAACTCGGGCAGAGGTAATCTGGCCACGGCAGCTCTGGACACTCGACTACTTATGGAGGAGGGTCCATGGTCGGAGTTGGATCCTCCGATCCTATTGTCATCTTCAATCTCAAGAAAATTGTGTTCACCAACCGTTCTGTTCGATCAAATCATTTCAATGACGAAACAAAACATATTGAAACGAAAAGCAGAAAAACAAAAGTTCATATTCTTCTGATGTTGCTAATACTACTGCATCATTACTCATGGAAATGTATAAATACTTCAATATGACTAAGAAACAATGATACCCATGATTAAGTGTCGCCGTCTGCCAAAGAACAAGAAGCAAAGAGTCGATATATCTTCTAAGCTTGTGTTTCTAACTACTAATCTGCACCAGAAGCAAACTCTGCATTCAATCTTATGTTTGACCAATAGCAAAGAAGCACATAAATTGAGTACTCACGAAAAAATGACCTAAACAATGGCGGAGTTGTCCATTTTAGTTGAAAAACTCACCGGCTGCATAGTTTGTCATATCGACGCAGATACTGGCCAGAACTTTTTCCTTTTCAGTTGGAACTTGGAACCCACCTGCTGCAAATTCGTCATATTCGTGCAAATACACGCGCTTATACAACACCTTGCATGAAACTGCAACCCGTGAAGGTAAGAACTAAACACATACATTTGTTGCAATTCATTAAAGATTGTCGCATTAATCTTACGTTCAAAAACAGGGAAACTAAGTGGTGAAACAGTATAAAAACAGTATGATTATGAATAAGCAGTCTCAGTATACAAAATATCGTAAACCTGACATTGGCAATAGACTGAATTCCAATAAATCCCACTTCTGCTATGGTAAGAAAAACATTCAGAAAATAATCCATACAAAGAAAAGTTATTCATCAACCAGTTTCACGGGTATAACATAAAACAGATCAACGGTACAAGATAAATGACTGAAGCTTATCAAAACCTTATTTCCCACCACAATGTCCAACAAAAATCCTGAACTTAACCATCTTCTAGATACTCAAGTAACTCCTCTCCATCTCTCTATATGTCTATAGACAGCATCGCATTTTTCCGCAATATAATCCTGCTTTCCATTTCATGATACCTGCCAATTATGCACGATTATTGCATATGCCGTGAAGCGTACATTTTACTTGTGTTCATTTAAAGCACAGAATATTTTCCTTGACACTGACATTCATTTCGAGTATCTTTTATTCTTTTCCTTTTCCAGAGATAATTTATTTCAGGTATTTAACATATCATTGTACACTCCAAATCTAACGGACCAACCAAGTTGCTGGTGAAGAAAACAATAAGCAAAAAGCTCACAAAGATTCAACAAAACCATTTTAAATTTGTTTTCCGAAATGTATAAATTCATTATTGTATTGTAACTGGTTTGCCCCAAAAATATTGTACGGTACTAGCATGCGACAACAAAAATCACACAAGCAAGCAACCATAATTATAGTAAATTTGGAAAAGGAAAAAAAAATGGGCAAAGAAACTAACTTGCTCTTACAATGAGATAATTCAGCCTGGATGGACATTGGAAGAGCAAAAATATAAGTATGTGAGGTCCTGAACCAAGGACTACAGGATTTAAACAGCAGCAGCATCAACAATATGAGGGAGACATGTGCTGAATGCCATAAATGCCATCCAAACATTCCTAATGTTTATTCCCAAATATCCACCATTTTTTCTTTTTTCTGTTCTCATATGAGGTTGTGCCTGAAATAAAACCAAAACTGTAAGTCATGCATTACTTTTACAGAGATATGTAAAACCCAAGGCATGCATGCAGGCACTACTGTCAGACAACCAAAGAGCCTTTTTGGACAGATAAAGAGCTATTACCGCGTTGTGTTTTAATTTCTCACTCCCCATCGCACAGTTGGTATTATACACACAGATCCCAAAAGAAAAAGAGACTAAGTATTATCATTCAAAAACTGTTGGGTAATGATGCAACATTATTGCTCGAACTGGTTGCATTCGGCTGAACGAGTTATCCCAATGCCAGGTTTTGTTTTACTCCATAACACTTTGTACTCTACATATGAGCATAAGAGAGAAAAAGTTACCTCCTTGAGGATAAATTGAGTTGTAATGCACCTCTGCCCAGAAACTCAAATAAATAACTGCACAAGACATAATAGCATCTGTAAAGCTTAATGGAGGACGACAAACTAATATTTAGGATATCACAACTAATAGCTTAACCATTAAGCAAAGTTCTATGAAATCTATTTTTAATTAGTACAATGATGAGACTAACATTGAACCAGGAGATTGTAATAGAAGAAAATATAATTAGGTGATAAATTTGTTCATCATAAGAGAAGTGAAATGAAAGAAAAGGACAGCAACATGTAGAATATGGAAACTGTAGTCAAATTTCAGCATACAGATAATTAAATACTTAAAACAATCGATTGTCTCTACCCACAACAAAAACCAAGAGCTTAACAAGCTTACCTTGTTTTGAAGTTTGAATATTAGGAAGAATCTCTATGCAACAGTTATCCTTATAAGAAGTCAGGACAAAAATTTTCACTCCGTACTGCAACAAATTATTCACACAAGTATCAGCTACTATATAAATTACTGTCCAAATGTTGGAAAAATCCAGATGTGCAGCTTCAATGTAAAAGATCTTTCATACCAAATCAGCAGCTGCCTGTAATGAGACATGGTCACCCCACTCACCATCCCTGGTTTCATTCAGATTGATAAGTATTAATTAAGGCCAAAATTAATTGACAGGAAAACAAGAAAAACTATGAGTTTGAGTCATACTTGGACATCTTCTCCAAATAGTCTTCATATGCCATAGGAACATATCCCTCGTAAATCTCCGGATGAGACTTAAGCTGATGGTAGTAAACCATCAGAAGGATAAACCAGAATCCATGGAAGATAGTTGATAATACACAAAACTTCATGGTGATAAAGTTCAGTATAACAAATAGGTATTTCCAGGAGAGCAAACCTGATTTACAACTTGCTTTCTCACATACTCGTGGCTGTCAGGTGATTGATACAATTGGTCTGATAAAGCATGGAACTGGAAAAATAAAGCAAAGCATGAGATTAACATGTCTAATTTGAAAAATTCTACTATCAATATCCAGTCATAAATAGAAAACTGATACATCAATATCTAGTCATCAACAACAGAAACAAGACATAGCTACAAAAGGACTAACCTGGCAGTTGCCATCTCCTGCTACCTTATGTTCAACGAAGCCATATAATTGAAGCCTAAATGAAAAAGGTAAGAAATACTTTTACAAACCCAAATCCAATATCAGACCCCAAGTCAAAAAACACGTAAAGATGGAGTCAGCTAGCTAGGCAAATTATTGAATTACAGACTGATGTTACTTCACTCCTAGAAAGGAAATGGGCAGGTCGTACCTGTCAACTAGCCTTTGATGGTCTGAAGTCGCTTCATCTATTGAAGGAATTTCTCCATTGATTCTAGGAATGTGCTAGACCATATAAAGGGAACAAAGTTAATGCCTGACAATGCAAATCATGTCATGTGTAGCAATCCAAATACAAATACACTAGTCACAAATTTGTAAACTGTGGATTTTAAATTATTTTAAGAGGGGGGAGGGTGGGAATTCACATGAATAATCAAAATCCCATTGACAACTCTATTTGAGTTTCCAATCTACATTCCTAGTCTCAACATCAGATTATTACCTAATGTGTATTATACAATGTGCTAATAAATTTTCAAAAGTCAATTATGACAACTCCTTCACACTGTTTAATAACAAAAACATGACAAAACATTTGAGGTTGCAACATGGTGAAAACACTAAACAATGTGAGAAATGAACTTTGAACAACATAAACTTACAGGAACAGGATTCCAGCCCCAGCCTACTTCCCCATCAAGAGAACATTCATCAGTTAGCTCCAAATGATCATCAGGGCTATAACATAAGCTAGAAGGCACCACAATAGCAGCTTCTTCCTGCCTGTAATCATGGTCTGCATGGTGCACAAAAAATGCCTATCAAGATAATTAAATGATATAGGTTAATTTAACTTCTATAAAAAGAAGGTGCAAACAGCAAATTTTCAGATGCCTGAGCAAAAATTTCTTGTAGATTGACCATGCCACACATCTGCATGAAACGAAGCTTGTGGCTGTGCTTCTTCTGCATGCGAGTATTCATAGGCTTCTGTTACAGATAGTCGTGCAAATTCTTCTTGAAGAGTATGTGCAATGATTTCATCATTTTCTACATTGTTTGATTCTGTATCATAATGACTCCTGATATACTCATCATGGTAGATATCATTAGCATCTTGTTGTATCATGTCACTGCCGTAGTAGTATGAAGAATTATAAACTGGATCCCCATCAAGAAGACGAAGACCCCACTGAACAATATCTGAATCATACTCACTGGAAGCCATCTCCTTAAAAATGCATATGTGGAATTAGAATGCTCAAGATGCTTCCAAGAGCAATGATGGAATCCCTCAGAAGTTCAGGGAATAGTAATACCTGCGAAAAAGCAACTAATAAAGTTTAAAAAAACCTTCAAAGCTTTGACATGCTTTAACCCCGACTATAATTTGCACGAGAATGTTCAGCTGCCAAAACTAAACTGAATCCCAGCATGAAATAGTTTCCCTAAATTAAGTATAGCACTCCCGATTGCAAGGCAAAGCTAAGGATTTTTAACTCAAATCCTTAATATAATAAAGCAGTTGACTTTTTTACAGAACTGGACAATATATAGTAGAGGGTATGCACAATTGATTAGATATCTAAGCATATAATAAATTAGAATAAGAAAACTTATGAAAATGATGCATGCCCCAAGTAATCATAATTTAAGACTTTGCTAAGGTCAAGTATGTTTATTGTTAACTATGTTAAAATTAAAATTGTGGTGATATCAGCAAGGCCTGCAGACTTTAATTATCCTAACAACATTATGAAGTGACAAACCTGTTAACCAAACAACGTGTGCTTACGCATTCCCAGTATGTCTAAATAAAATATCACGAAGACGATAACGACCTTAAACCAGCCCGCCTGCTTTTGCAATTTTAAACTAGATCATTGCTAATAAACAAGTAACTCCTATAAAAAAATTGAAGGATCAACAATAACGTGGAGAGCTAAATATTCTTAACAGTTAAACCTTTTACCTCACATGCCTAGGGAAAAAATCCAAGAAATTAAGTAAACTTAACCCAAAAAAGTTAATCTTCACTATAACAAATCAAAATTTCATATGACCTTTACTATACATACCAAAGATAATGAATCAGTTCGAACTCACATCCCCCTTAGATTAAAGTAGTTTAGAATATCGTCTTGTCAAAAGAAAAACAACACAACTGCTACATGCATATCCATGATCAAACCAATAAACTACCAACAATCAAACAGAACCCAGAAAAGCTTAAGATTTTGCAATAACATCTCAATCAGCAGTAAAATCTCAACAATAATACAAACAAAAAACAAACCCAAATTTCTTCAGCAATCAATAGAGCAAACCAACAAAGTAAACAGATTTAAAACCGTAGAAATCAAGAGATTAAGAACTCACCCAATCAGCTTCTCCTCAGAGCCAATAGAAAAACAAAAGCTTTGAAAGCTATCGTTTTCGCAAGAGGAAAACTTAGGGTGAAAGTTAGAGAGAGAGAGAGAGAGAGAGAGTTGGGAGCAAAACACTGTGTGTGTTGTAATACGACGATACGAATTGCGTTGGATGACGATCGAAGCACTGAAAAAATTGACCAGAAAATGCAACAAATTGGGGTCCACTTTCACCCCCATTATATACGATTTGCCTGGGACCTTAAAGGTCGAGCAAGTTATACATCGTACGGACCCAATGGACGGTTGAGATTTATTTGTCATTCCTTGAACGGCTTCTTATTCAATATTTCAATTAATTAATTAATTGACTAGTTTATGATTTTATATTTTTATTCCTTCTAGTAGTTTTATTTTTTAATTTTCTAATAAAATGCAATATTATTATTTTAAGCTTCATTATATAAAGGATTGAATATGAACAATTGAAGAAGAAATCTTAATTATCAAGTCAATCCACCATTGCAATCTTATTTCATAATTTATATTTGTAGCTTAACAATTTTTCCAAATAGTATAATTTCATTAAATTTTATTAACCTAATAAGCAAATGAGAGGTATGTGTGTCAGTGTGTGTACATTGAGTTTTAGATGTGTAAATGACTCTCACTTGGTGCTAATCCTGTCAAAAAAATTTGGTAACGTTAGCTGAAGGTACTGAAATTGTAACAAGTGGTAAACTATAAAGGTTGATTATATATCGATCCTTAAATTTATCGGTTTTTAAATATATTCGAAGCATAGTATACACTAGAATTAAAAATTATGAAAAAAGTTTACCTAATAAAAAAATATGTGTCACTGTTTAAAAAATCTCTGCCTAGCGTTACTTACGCTCCGATTAGTTCATACACGTTTGAAAATTAAAAAGTGCGCCTAGACCAGCTTAAGCATCCGTGTAGCCCTCTTGAAACCATCTAGACCACCTAGGTTGCAACTCTCACTTAGATAAAAAATCGATAACTTTCATTTTTGCGTTTTAATTTTTCAATAAAATGTAAGAAATTTGTTGATACTTGGATGAACACTAGTTGTTCCCCATATTTTCAGTATGTCCTAAACTTTATAATTTATACATCATTTTATTTTGCAATTTATGCATCACAATATAATTATGTGGTTTATTTTGCAATTTATGCATCACAATATAATTATGTGGTTTTTTTTAAAGTATAAATATGCACTTATTTTTACAATATATGATAAATTTACTTAAATACGCATGGGCCCCTGCCTAGACGCTAGTCTGCAGCTCACAGCCTGATTAGCGTTTAACGTCTTGTAGAACCTTTATACACCTTATATACTCTCACAAAATTATAACTGGGCCAACTTTTGGCATGGATTTGAAGGAATCCCTTCCCAAGAGGGATCCCCATTTAAAATATATATATATAAATATGGGGATCCCCTCTTGACCGTTAGATTTGGCTTTAATGAAATTCTGTGGTTGAGATTCTATGGCCTATGATTTAATCTCAACCACAGAATTTCATTAAAGTCAAATCTAACGATCAAGAGGATATTCCCATTTTTTTTTAAATGGGGATCCCTCTTGGGAAGGGGCCCGTGGATTTGAAAGAGATTGATAGGAACGAAGATCTAACGGTGTAGGTAGGTTCTGATGAGAATATGAGAAATGGAAGGTTGAGATTGGTTTGAACTGAGGTTTGGGGAATCGAACAGCTGTTAATGAAGAGATTTGGTACCTTTTTTTTTTATTTTTATTTTATTTTTTTTTTTTTTGAAACAGATTTGGTACCTATGGCTAATGCCGTCTGAAAGCTAAAAAAAGTCCAATGCAAGGCTTTCTATTAAAGGAGGCTTTTTTTTATTAATTTGAATTGAGCAGAAAGTTTAAGTTTCAATTAACGGGTCAACACGTGAGGCCGGTGGGACGTGTCACTCACTTGTAAATCCTACTATTTTATAATGGATAACATTTGGATACTTAATAGAGAGTATCTAAGGTCATCTTCAATAGAATGAGGGCCAGATGGCTCTCTTTAGCTTTATAGCTCTCCAATAAATTAATATTTCAATGAACAATATCATGCCATATTTCTTATCATCTCCAACCAAGGGGCTAAAGGGCCATAGGCCAAACATAGCCTTGTGACAAAAAATCATCTTCAACTGAGGGGCCAAAGGGTCATAGTTCAAACATAATTTATTATTTTAATTGAATTAAGATGGTTACTTAAATTAAACTTCCTCTATAAGTTTTCGATATGTAATCTCAATAATTTTTCGAATAGGATTTCGAATGACACGTGTCGATATGTGAGTAACTTGGCAGATTTCTTGTCGATATGGAATCTCTATAATTTTACGTCTCGGATTTCGAGTGCCACATGTTGATATGTGTCCAACTTTGCAGATTTATTGTCGATATGGAATTTCAATAATTTTACGTCTCGGATTTCGAGTGACACGTGTCGATATGTGAGTAACTCTTCAAATTTCTTGTTGATATGTAATCTCAATAATTTTTCGAATAGGATTTCGAGTGCCATATGTCGAGATGTAATTGGTTGTGGGAATTTTAGATAGGATTTTTATCTGTGTAGCACTTCTTATCTTCAACTTCCAATGTCCATAAATAGGGTGGATATTGGGCTATAATTCACACACATTCTGCTTTGCCCTCTCCAATATCTCTTTCAATTCATGTTTGCAATGAATTCCAACTTTGGATCCTCTTTGGACTCTAACTGGGGGTCCTCATCCAATTCCGAATTGGAAGAAAAATGGGCGCATATGAGACGAGAAGATGATGAGTCCGATGAAAAAAATGAAGCATGGCGCAACATATCATATATGGCAACCATGGATGGGGTCATGGCGTGTGGGCCAACTGAAGAACAACCTCAATGGGGTGGCTGTGTTGCTGGTCACTCTTACAATCCATGAAATAGAGAGATGGCGCATGAGAATCTGAGGAACAACTACATCAACCCCAACTCAGTGTACACAGAAGAGGATTTCAGACGTCGCTTCTGAATGAGGCGTCATGTCTTTAAGCATTTACTTCATGATGTCCAACATGTCAATCCATACTTTCGACAGAAGCTGGATAGAGCAGCCCGCCCTGGTTTCTCAGCTTATCAGAATGTTACTATTGCACTCCGAATGCTGGCCTATGCCTTTCCAGCTGATGCGGGATGATACATATGGTATGTCTGAGTCTACATGCCTTCATAATCTTGCTGAATTCTATCACACAATTGTTTAGCTTTACAAAGAAGAGTACCTCCGTGAACCAAATCAAGCAAATCTAGATCAGCTCATTCTCAAAGCTGAAGACTGTGGCTTTCCGAGCATGATAAGGTCATTAGATTGCTTTCTTTGGAGTCCCAGGATTCCAAAATGACATTACAGTTGTTGGGTGTTCACCCTTCTTCAATAACCTGATGGAGGGTCAATCACCACAACTTGACTACTACATCAACAACCGTCAGTACAATATGAGGTATTACTTGGCAAATGGCATTTACCTAAAGTGGGCGACACTTGTCCAAGCAAGTCCAAACCCTGTGGTTGACACCCAAAGGTGGTTTACCTTACACCAAAAGGCATACCCGAAAAATGTTGAGAGAGTTTTCGGTATTCTACAAGCATAGTGGAAGATCATCAAAAAACCGACAAGAAGGTAGAGTCGAGTAAATTGAACGCCATCATGATGTCATGCATCATATTACACAATATGATTGTGGAGGATGAGCGCGATGGCTATATTGATGGAGAATCTGATGACGACCAAGATAATCCAAATAGGTTAAGGAAGGCTCGTGCAAAAATATATGATGGACCTAATTTGCCATTCTATCCAAGAACTGGTAATATTTCGTTAAATGAGTACATGAGGTGTAATAGGATGATACGTTTACGTGCCATAAACAAGTACCTACAACAGGATCTTGTTGCACATCTTTGGGCCAAAAGAAGCTTGGAGTAGGCGTTTAAGTTTTATGTTGTTAAATGTCTTTTTTAATGTTGTTTAAGTTTGTGTTCTTTAATGTTGTTTAAGTTTGTGTTCTTTAATATTGTTTAAGTTTAATGTTATTTAATGTTGTTTAATATTGTTTAATGTTATTTAATGTTGTTTAATGGTTTAGGTAGTTATAGAAGGAAAAAAATTAAACTTTTTATTTTTTTTAAAAAATTGTAAAAAAAAATAAAAAATTCAAATCCAACGGCTACCTGGCGTCAGCTAGCCATTGCTAGCTGGCATCATGCTGACGCCAGGTAGCCACTGGGCTTGAATTGCTGGACCAGCCAGGGGCTGGCTGGTTCGAGCCAATCGGTTGGCCCAATTGTACAATTGTGGCCTGATAGGGCCCATGAGCCATTTGGCCTAGCCTTCGGTCCTATGGCCCTCTGGCCGAATCGGTTTAAGATGGCCTAAGTTTCTAACCATCTAATGTGGACCTTTGAATTTAAAACAACTGTCAAATAAAACTCTCCCCAAACTCCTACTATCTTTCTAACCAAACACACGATTTTTTTTCTCTTTTACTAGTTTCCAAACATCTCTCACTAAGAACATAGCTGCCATACCTCTACCAACCGCCTCTCTCCTCTTTATCCCGAAGCCATGGCAGCTCTACTCCAAAAGTTTCACCACCCCATTATAGAACATATCCATCTTACTAATATTATGAAGGAAATTTCACCCAGGAGAAAAATTACGAAGGAGGTTGTTATTTAGGGTAATGCTAAGGAGACTAAATTTGCAAACTATCACTAATAGGAATGAGCACATTTATCAACGCTTAAGTAATAAACCGATAATCAACTTTCATGTCCTTTAGTTTCCAACATTTAGCTTACAAATTTAGTCTTTATAGCATTACCCTTTTATTTGGGGAACTTTGGGCTTTTGTATTGCCATGAATTCCATGACAGAGAAGTTCGACGA